CATACTTCGTTATACCAATCTTCTAATTTAGTACCATGTTTGTTTTTCTAGTATCTAGCTATTAATATTCTAGCACTTGTCAAAAAATTAGTAACCAATTCCTTTGAACAGTAATCAAGTTCTGTCTTGTCAAAAATTGACAACAATACAATTTTAGAGTTAAATTCAAATTCTTTTCCAAATATATCAGATATTTCCTTAAAAATCAATTTCCAAAATTTCTGAGTCAATTTACACTCCCACCACATATGATAATATGTGCCAATTTCCTCATCACATTTCCAACAAGCCTTAGAATAGTCTGAGTTTATCATGCTCAATTTCACTGGAGTCATGTACCACCTTAAAACTCATTTTTTTTAAAAAAAATTGCTCCTTTATTCTTACCGACATTAATCTTAAAACTTTCATCTTCCAAATTTTGTCCAATCCTTTGTTTTGATTTCTGTCTTTAAATAACAGCGGAGACGTCTTTATAGCTTTCAAACTCTCATCTTTATTAACACTCACCTCCTCCAGCACATTACTTATGGGATCAAAGACTTAACTTTGTCAACAGGCCACAACTAACTGAATCGAAACTCTTGCCATAGTCCCACAGACTCAATGGGGAAGTCCCCCACACCATTCCTTGTCTTGGGGAAGGAGTACTTCGGAGGGCACAGATGCATGCCTGCAACATGCATGCCTTATCCAACCTCTTTCATCAGGTTTGTCATAAAACTGGTTGTGAGCTATCTCTGCTTCTCTTTGTAAAGCACCTGGTAGACATTTTGAAAACCTGACGACCCCCTCTCGCACCCCCCCACGGCAAAGCGCCGCTTTTGTCGTGTCGGTTTTGGCTCTCCTGGAGTGGGCTCCGGCAGCAATCTTCCCACTTTTAAGTTAGGGAAGTCCTTTATCAGCCCTTGAGTCCTTATCCTCTCGAACTCCTTCCTTTGGATTTCAGCTCTCTTTCTCTCATAGTCTGCTACCACTGAACTGAACCAGCGTACCCCTTCCTCATTTATATCTTCCTCCCAAACCGTCACTTCTTGCTCCACCCCCTTTTCCCCTTTCACCTCTTCTGCTAAACAAACCTCAGTCTTTCCCGCCTTTTCTTTTGATTCTAATTCTCCCGCATCTTTCGTAACCCATCACCCCTTCATCTTTTTGTTCTGCCCTTTTTTCTCTTCTTCTCCTCCTTCTATGGTCTCTATTATCATGGACGGCTCACTTGTACACTCTGCTCCTTCACAGGTGCGTAGACATTAACCAAAGTATATTCTTCCAAACCCATTTTACCATGTATTAATATAAATCTACCATTACAATCTTTTACTGTTTCACTGTAAATTCCCAATTTTTAAAAATTATGATTGTCACACCTCTAGATTTAGATGTTCCAAGGGTTTTTTTTTTTCATAAGTGATGAACTGCTATTCTGCGTGGTAATTATGTTTAGGAAAAAAGGAACTGACTGGTGTGAACAGTCAATTTTGCAAGCCTTGTGGTCCCTTAGTAATGGTGAGGAGGCTGGGTGCAGAAATGCTATAGGCCAAACCGAAAGGCCAGAAGTTTACTGCTAGTGATGAGTGTGACTTGCTTGCTCTGTGCCGCATTGTTGCAAGTAATCGGTGCGACATCACAGATGCTGCAGGTTCCCTTCCATCACCCACTGGCTGGCTCCTCAATTCACCAAACAGCACATCCTGCTCATCTCTTGCTCTTTGTGTGATCATCCAGTCACAGCGTTAGTGCAAACTTCCCTTCTCTGCCTCCTCCAGCAGCTGCCCATTCAGATGAGGAAGCAGGGCAGGGATTCCTGCAGTGCTTCCTTTGAATGGGCAGCTGCTGGAGGAAACAGAGAAGGGAAGTCCGTGCTTGTGATCGGGTTCAGTTTCAAGTTTTGCCAGCTCCTCATTTTGTGCAGGAAATATCACAGGAGACATCTTCTTAACTCTATCTTTATCTTTATTGCTTACGCATCCACACTGTTATAATCTTGTCAAAACAACTTAACTCCAGCAATAAGTCATAACTGTCAGGTGCGAACTCCCGCCCAAAGTCTGTTAAATTCACAGGGGTGGTAGGCCAAACTTCTCCGGAGGGGTGTACTCCTGACTGCACAAATGGTGCCGCAGCATGGGTGCCGGGCCCAATTCCCTCTCAGGTGGAGGAGTATTAAATCTGGAATCAGGTCATATCACTGCCATCCTCTTCCCTGCCCCTTTGGGAATACAATCACCGTCCACTCCAAAGTTTCATATTTTACTTCTCTTGCCTCCAAAAGTGGGGGACAAGGTAGCAATCCCAACTTCAGATTTTGGAAATCTCTCAATAACTCCTCTGTTTTCACTCTCTCGTAGTCCCACAGTCTCTCCAGTTCTCTTTTACATTTCCACTAGTCTAATTCGGCCTCAAATCTCGGCTCTCCTTGGCTACTTATACCCTCCTCCCAAGTCTCGCAGTGTCTCCAGCTCTCTTTTACATTTCCACTAGTCTAATTCTGCCTCAAATCTCCGCTCTCCTTGGCTACTTATACCCTCCTCCCAAACAGTCAGTTCTTGCTCCTCCCCTTTCTGATTCCCGCTGTCTTCTACTAGACAGATTTCCACCTTGCCCTTTCTTTCTGCTCCTTTTCTCTCTCCCTCTCTAGTCTCATTTTCCTTTGGGTCTAATTTTACATTAATGTTCACCCAGTTCTCCTACTCCCCCCTCTGTCTTGTGAGACAGCACGCTCTCCTTCGGACCTCCTTCACAGTGCTCCTGCTGCAACTGGATAGTTGTGCGAAGAGCAGGTCACACCGGCTGGTGGCCGGGGGCGGCGAGGGGAGAGAATGCGCGGCATTTGTGGTGCCATGCCCAGGACTTGCAGTGATGTGGCATGAAGTGAGTCATTCCCGTTTCTATTCACCAGTCCTGGTGTAGCAGTTAGTTCTTAAATTATTACACTGTACTTGAATCCTGAGAGTTCAGTGGGACTTCAGTATGTTTAGTCATTCTCTGAATGGCACCTACCAAAGTGGATTTCTCAATTAAGCTTATTGTGGTATGATTGCTTTGGTTCATTGACAGTTACTCTTGCCATTCAGATGTCTGTTGTCATCCTAATTTACATGAATGCTGTACTAATACCAAAGGATAACTTTGTGAAAGGAATCAGATAACCCTACTGTGTAAGTTTTATTATGCTTTAAAAAATTCTTCCTTTCTTTATATAGGCAAATGGCCATATGATAGTAGTTTGTGCTTATCTTAGTTTCTGGTGAACAGCTGTTTGTATCTTGAATTGTGGCTGATACTAACTGGCTGAATCAGCTGTCAGGAAAAAGGGAAGGGAGCAACTATGTATGGAATCTGAACTGTTTTTCTTGGCCATCTCAGACTTGAACACATCTTCTTTTCCTTGTAGCTCAACAGTGACTTATGAATAATAAGTAATGAGATGGCTCTGAAGAACAGCAAATCCGAAACAAACAGCAAAACCAAAGCAGAAAACCCTCCCAACTGATGCTTTAAAAACACAAAAGTGTAACATAACAGGTCACATCTTTTACAGAATTTGTATTGCTTTCATTTAAAAGATTTTATTCAGACCAGTAACCCAAACAATGATGTTGACTGGTTTCAAGTTTAAAAAATTAGAATCAGGAAGTAGAATTTTAAAATCAATGTAACTGTGATTTCTATGAGATGACAGTCATATGCATTCTTGCTGAAGAATGGAATTTTGTCCTAAGAAGTCTGCTTTCTGTAGACTAGTTTGTGAAGTCTGCAGAACATTACCATGTAATATACAATTTCATGTCTTTAGACAGTATAGAATTTTAAATACTAATTTCATTTTAATTTTAAAAATAACTGAAAGAGACAGGTGAAAAGCAACAAGACTTTCATGGGCTTTAAGGCAAGTATATACCATTAAAAGTCAGTTGTGAAGAGAGGTTCCACCCAATGCTGCATCTCTCTTTCACCGTACAGTATTTGGTAAAAGAGGAAGCTTTCGCAAAAGGAATGGGATATGGGGAGGGAAGCTGCAATGGGGAGGGGGGAATTTGGCAGAGGCAACTTGGGGAAGTACAACTTTACATGCAACTGGATAGCTGTTTTCTTCTAAACAAAAAGCCAACTAGCAATTTATGTACTTTTAAAATTAATTATGTTTATGTGATACTTTTCCTCTAGTGAATTCCACACTGTGTGTGTGGTTTCTTCCTCCCTCATTTTATCCTTACACCCATCTTATGAGTAGATCATGCAGAGTATACAAAACTGGCCCAGGCTTAGCCAGCAAGTTTCATGTTGCAAAGGTGACTTGAACATGGATCCTCCAAATCCTTGTCCAGCACTAACCACTATACTATACTATACTCACCTTGCATCAAAGAATCTTGATATCAGTGGATCAAATGCTGTTATGCACCTAACTGGGTGTTGGGTTGTAATCAACAAATGCTGTTTCACTATTTGTAATATTGACCAGAATCCTACTGATGTTTATATAAGTTTTGCATGACTTACCATGACTGATTACAGCTAATTTATGAAGTATCATGGTATATCTCACCTGCACAACCAGCTTCGTGGCAGGGCACACAACTGAGACATGCCCCAGCATCTGATCAGCTAGCTGCAATTAGCCATGGCAGGTTATGCAAAACTTACAGGAACACCAAAAGGATCACTGTGATTGTGTGATGAAATTAACAGAAGTTAGCTGTCCACTTGCTTTATTGGGCCAGCAGTTGGGCTAGAGATGCAAACTTCTAGAAGTTCTACTTACTCTTTTTTGGCAGAATGGAAGAAAGGATTTTTTATTGCAATACAGATTTCACATGGTAAAAAACTATTTCTGGGAAGATTCTAGAAAGATGAAAAATTAACAGAAACAGGAGTTCAAGTTCCATTTGAAATACACATTTCAAAATTCATCTTGTACTATACATTGAAAGTAGATTTCGTTTCAGAATTGTATTTATTGTAATATTATAATAGTGAAATCCTTGAATTGTTCTTAGTGTCTTCTAGGGCAATGGCTTCCAAAACGGCTGTTGGCTTCATTGGTTTGGGTAACATGGGAACTCCAATGGCCCAAAACCTTGTAAAACATGGCTACCCTGTTATCGCACATGATGTATTTCCAGAAGCATGTAAAGAATTTCAAGAGTTGGGCACCCAGGTATAGTAAAAAACTGCTTATTTTTAATTTTTAACATTTACAAGGTGTGTTGCTCTGGAACCCACTTGAGCTTACAACTTGTGCCTACATTTGTCAAGAATGGTGCACAGAGTGTCACTATCCCTTTTTATAGGGACCACAGAGACAGAATCCAAGTTTGAGCAAAAATCCTCTTTTGTAGATTCCATCTGTGTAAAGGTGATGATGTCACCAGCAGGAGGAGATTGCTGTTAATTAAAGAGTTCCTGCTTTGAACAGAGGGCTTGCTGAACTTGCTTGCAGTCAGTCCCATTGCATGTAAGCCCCAGGAGGGAAGCAGGAATTTTTTAATTACTGGCAATCTCCCCCTGCTGGTGATGTCATCACCCTTGCACAGGTATAATTTAAGGAACAGAATTTTAGCTGTTTTCTTTTAGAAGGGAAATGCCACTTGAAATGCCTGCAGCCACCAATGTTTCCCCCATTTCCTGCTTTCAAAATCTCATGAGACCTTTTTGTGGAAGGGAAGGGGAGACAAAAGAGGCAGTTGCAGAGGCTTGAGAGGCAAGGCTGGCTTGATCCACCATTCTTATTAGAAACAAATGAAGTGCATGCAAGCTCTTCACAATATACTCAGTATCCTATAATGCTGCAAGCTCTCTTAAGGTCCCATTTTGTTTGTTTATTCCTTGGAACATAAGCTTGAGGGGAGGAATTCTATCCATGTTTGTACTGTAGTCTCAAAACACGCCTTTTGATTTTGATCCTGTGTTTTGGAAAGATATGTAAGAATTCATCTTCTCCTTTGAAGCTTTTTGTGTGTCTAACTGAATCAGTGTCAGAGCTGCTTGATCACTTGTAGAGTGTATAAAATTAAAGTATAAAAATGTCTTCTTGTATACATTCCCTAACACTTAAAGTATAAGCAACCAGCTGTAGTACATAAGTTATTTCTGCTGCCCCAGAATTCTGCTTCTATTCTAAGTCACTTCTTTTTCACTTGAAGAGTGCATGTGCATGAATGGAATGTCTTGGGACCCCAGCTCATTTCTTCAGCTTTTAAACTAATCAGATGGTTTAACTGATGCTAATTTTAAAAAAATGAAAAAAATGAAAATGTGGCATTTGACTGCAGTGTTATGAAATATAATGGGTTGCATCTAGAGGCATAAGGTCTATTCAGGTGTTACAACTCAGAGTGCAGAACCTGCTGGAGAAGAGAGTACCCATGTCCAAAGTGCATCTGGAAGTCTGCTGGATCTTTTGTGTCTTTAGCACAAGAGGAGCCCAAAAGCATGTCCAACTGAATGTACTTACAGCCTGCCTAAACTGGGTTCCTGATTATAGGTGCTCTGTAAGCAACTTCATTTATACATGGTTACTGGTTCCTCCTCAGACCATTGTGCAGAATGTGTAAAAAACAGATTAGCATCTAGGTGGGAAGCGAAAATGTATGTATGTATGTATGTATGTATACATCTAGGTGGGAAGGGAAAATGTATGTATGTATGTATGTGTGTATGTATGTATGTATGTATGTATATATGTATGTATGTATGTATGTATGTGGGTGTGGGTGTGGGTGTGGGTGTGCGTGCGTGCGTGTGCGTGTGCGTTTGTTTGTTTGTTTGTTTATGGTAGGACTTTATTACATATCTACGTCCGAACTGTAGTTAGAGCACACACTCTTTCAGGCTTTTGTCACACCAATAAGATGGAACTAATTTAAATTTGTCAGGACCAACCTAAGCCATACTGATTTCAGTGGGTGTACAGTATTCTTAAATGTGACTATGTCTGGATCCAGCACTAAATCTGGAAATCTGCAAATGGTTAGCCACCAAATAAATGGCATATGCTTTCCTAGTCAGCTTTGTAATTGAACCTGTGATAGCCTGGTCTATCAGTATTCGTAGTATCAGAACACACTGAAAGCTTTCACAAATGATTTTTGTAGCTTTAAGTACATGATACTGTTTCTTTGGGTCTTTACTGCTGAAATGCTTTAGAACTTGTTTTAAGCCATTGAACAGTAAAACATGAAAGGATAATTTCTGTTTCAGTAAGCAACAGCTTGCCAATCTCTTTCTCCCCTTCTTCTTTCCTTGAAAGGTGACAGATTCCCCAGCAGATGTAGCAGAAAAAGCTGACAGGATTATTACAATGCTTCCATCTAATCCTAATGTAATAGACGTTTATACGGGCTCCAATGGAATTCTTAAGTAAGACATCTTTCCTGCTTTTGCTTTTAATATCATTTAAAAAAATTAACATGTGTACTACATTTTCTCTGAGGTGTCATTTACATTTTTATTTTATTTCATTTTGCTTGCCTCTTGAATGACCGTGCTCCACTGTTCAGTGGTCAGCTTTGTGTGCAGATAATAACCCTGTGGCAGGTTGCATCCAGCAAATAAGTTCTGCATGTTGAAACGTGTTTGTCTCATTGCTTCTGTATGAACAAAATCTTCAGCTGCTCTTCTAGACCAAATCCAGTAGTCTAGAAGTCTATTATCTCAGTCTCATATGTCTTTTCTAGTGAAATGCAATGGAAACTTACTAAGAATTATTTTTAAGATAAGAACCAGAGCCTAGAAAAGTTACTTTTTTGGACTACAGCTCCCAGTGACCATGCTGGCCATGAGAATCCCAAAGTCTATATTCTAAGAATAAGACAAAGTGGATTTTTTTTTGTTAGAGTGTAGGGAAGCCACATGTGTAGTAGCAAGCCGTTATCAAAGATATGATTCACAGTGACTGACTTTTATGTAATCTGTAAAGCTCTTTATTTTGTTGTGACAGGCTCTGGATTCAAATTGTGTTCTTATTACCAGCAGGTGGTAGAAGTTGTCAAATACAGTGCTAGTTGTCTATGCATTTTGTATAACTTTGCATCTCAGAACATCTTCCACTTTTGCCTCTTCTTTCTAGGAAAGTGAAGAAAGGTTCTTTGCTAATAGATTCCAGTACTATTGATCCTGCAGTTTCAAAAGAACTAGCTAAAGAAGCTGAAAAAATGGGAGCTGTTTTTATGGATGCCCCTGTTTCTGGTGGTAAGTCCATTTGGTAAATATACAGCTTTTCCTTGATAGTTGTTGTGGCCATTGTTTTATCTGTTTCTGTGCATAACGAATGGAAAGTTTTGTTTGTTCTGGCATAGGAATGGATGAATTAATTAATTTTAGTTTCTATTTTTTTTTCATTTCATTTCATTCTCTTTTCAGTGTCTGTGATTGTGATTGGTACAGATGTGTTAATTTGTGATTGGTGAAACTGAAGATGAATATGTTAAGGCATTTCTCATATGTGTTTGTCCTACTGTGTAGATTTTGGTATTCACTTCAATTCTCCATAATAGATACAGTTTCACAAACAATAATATAATACATGTTTGAAGTTGAGCAGCATGCAGACATTTTACTTACTGTCCCTGAAGAGATGCAGATTTTTTATGCATTTCCTTTTTTCACATAGGAACTGCATCATAAAATTGAGAGAAGTGTGGTATTAAAGAACAGTGGTGTTTCAATTCACAAAGTACAAATGCAAATTAATTTCTCACTTATTTCTACAGTGGCATGGCAGTATGTGTGTATGTATGTGTGTGGGGGGGTTACATGTTACTGGTAGGGTTCCTGTGCCATGCATTGAGTTCAATATGTATTTCAGTTGAAAATATTTACATCCACTTTTTCTATGTTCTTTTAGTATGTTCAGAGAAAATATCAGACTACTAGCGATATTCTCTAAAATCTGCTCTCTTTTATGTAAAGAGTACAAGCCAGCATAGAATCAAATATACTTAATTCATCAGGATTTAATGAGACTTAAAATATTTCTAGCCATATGCTAGTTTGTAATTGTGCACTTTGTGTGATGCAGTGGATAGTGTGACAGACTAGGTCAGGAGAACAGGGTTCAATTCCCCGCTTGGCCATGGAAAATCACTAGGGGAGTAAACTTGGTAAAACCATTCCTTAAATGCCATACGTGGGGCTGCCTTTGAAGATGGTCCGGCGACTGCAACTGGTCCAGAATCGAGCTGTGTGGCTGGTGAGTGGTGCAGCTGCTAGGGAACATATCCAGGCCATTCTGTTCAAGCTACATTGGCTACCAGTTGCTACCCGGGCCCAATTCAAAGTGCTTGTTTTGACATATAAAGCCCCAAGCAGCTTGGGCCCTGGATACCTGAAGGACCGCCTCCTTCCATATGAGCCTACCCAGCAGTTAAGATCTAGCCAGGGTGCCCTTTTGAAAGAGCCGTCCCTTCAGGAGGTAAGAGGGACGGCTTGTAGACAAAGGGCCTT